CTTGCCATCTCATTTTTGACCACGTCAAGCTTACCTTGATTCATAGATCTTACATTCCAGGTTCCTATGCAGTATTGTTCTTTGCAGCATCGGACTTTCCTTTCACCATCAGACACATCCACAACTGAGCGTCCTTTCGGCTTTGGCCCAGCCGCTTCACTCTTTCTGGGGTTACTTGTACTTGTCCTCTGCTCTTCCTCAGTAGCATATTGGACACCTTCCGACCTGAGGGGCTCATCTTCCGGCGTCATATCTTTTAGCCTTTTGATACTGTCCATGGGGTTTTCTTGGCAAAAATACTGGAGTGGGTTGCCATTTCCTTCTCCAGGTGGATCACGCTTGGTCTGAGTTCTCTGCTGTGGCCTGTCCGTCTTGGGTGGCCCTTCACGGCATAGCCCACAGCTTCATTGAACTGCGCAAGCCCCCTCGCCACGACAAGGCAGTGATCCATGAGGGGCCACAAGTGATGGGCCACTACATAAAAGTGCCTAACATCTGGTGACACTCTGGACAAAACTCTATGGTAGAATTAGCTTCAAACCATAGAGTTTTGCCCCCAAAACAGAGTGTAGCCCCCACGATGTCACCAATATGTGTATGTCACTTTCGGGTGATGTAGGCACGTCACTGACATCCCTGACGTGTACGTCACCTGGAGGGGGCATAGGAACGTCACGCTTCTTCCCTCCCCTCTCTTCGAGCCTCCTTGTAAGTCCACCGCCGGCTTGTGGGCCAGACTTGGCAACCCTACTTTTCTCGTAGGGCTTGGTCCCCAGGCCCCTGATCATCCTTGATCCCGGTCAAACGAGCGGGATGATCCACTGCCAAAAGGAGGCAAATTAGAGCCGGAGCAAAAAGAACCGCGGGAGTGCAATCTGACGTGCCCCCACGGCTCTATGCTCTGGCAGCTGATCAAATGTTGTGCAGCAAACCGGCAGTAGCACAGTTGTGCGCATGCGTGGGATGGGGAACGGCGCTGGCTGCGACGGGCTACCAGCGCTTCCCCGACCAGACGCCTGGAGTTGCCGCACATCATCCGGAAGGTAGTGCTCTGTTGCTAGTACCTTTTAAATGTGCATTTTCGGGCCGAAGGGACGGATCGGGGATGGGTGCGTGATGCTTCCCAGATGTTGCGGTGTGCTTGATGCGCCCCCGATCTGTCCCTCTTGCGGGGCAAATCCTCCTGTGTGACCGGGGCCCTCATTGCTCTCTTCTGTTTGGAGGCTAAGGCCTTCTACGGCTGTTACCTGCTAGCACTGAAACCTCTGAATATGGAGGTTCTCATTAGTCACTATGGCTAGTAGTTATTGACAGACCACTCCTCCGTGAATCTCTCTAACCCACCTTTAAAGCCACCTGTGCACAGGGTCATCACTATATCCACTACTAACTCCAAACCAGTGGCACCAATGGTCCAAACAAGATAGGACCAGGCCAGACAGGACTCTGAAAGAATATTCAACCCCTTGCCTTGCTTTCATCTAACAGGGGGGGGGGAACCTTACTCCCCCAATACCTTGGTAAATTTTTTCCTCCCTATTTCTTTCTTTCTTTCTTTTTGCCCAAGGAACTTTTCAAAGAGTCGGGAGAGATAAGAGGAAGCAGGCAGGCATCTATCACATGTCATCCTTATCAGTTCTAGAATGGCTGCTTGCTTAACAAGACTGAAGGAGATTCATTTTTTCCCAGCAGGCTGCCAAGGTGGGTGGAAGTCAAAACCGTATTCATTAACCTTGTCAAGGACATCGAGGTCTTTCTTGTATAGTTCTTCTGTGTATTCTTGCCATCTTTTCCTAATCTCTTCTGCTTCTGTTAGGTCCCTACCGTTTTTGTCCTTTATCATGGCCAGCTTTGCATGGAACGCTCCCTTGATTTCTCCAATTTTCTTGAAGAGATCTCTAGTCCTTCCCATTCTATTGTTTTCTTCTATTACTTTGCACTGTTCATTCAGGAAGGCCTCCTTATCTCTCCTTGCTGTTCTCTGGAAATCTGCATTCAGTTGGGTAAATCTTTCCTTTTCGCCTTTGCCTTTCGCTTTCCTTCTTTCCTCTGCTATTTGTAAAGCCTCATCAGAAAGCCATTTTGCTTTCTTGCATTTCTTTTTCTTTGGTATGGTGGTGATTGCTGCCTCCTGTACAATGTCACGAACCTCCGTCCATAGTTCTTCAGGGACTCTATCTATCAAATTCAGACCCTTGAATCTATTCTTCACCTCTACTGTATATTCATCTGGGATGCGATCTAGGTCAAACCTGAATGGCCTAGTGGTTTTCCCAATTTTCTTCAGTTTAAGTCTGAATTTTGCAATGAGTAGCTCATGATCTGAACCACAGTCAGCTCCAGGTCTTGTTTTTACTGACTAGATAGAGCTTCTCCAACTTTGACTGCAAATTATATAGTCAATCTGATTTCGGTGTTGCCCATCTGGTGATGTCCATGTGTAGAGTCGCCTCTTAGGTTGTTGGAAAAGGGTGTTCGCTATGACCAGTGTGTTCTCTTGACAAAACTCTGTTAACCTTTGCCCTGCTTCATTTTGCTTTCCAAAGTCAAACTTGTCTGTTATTCCGGTTACCTTTTGACTTCCTACTTTAGCATTCCAGTCCCCTATGATGATGAGGACATCATTTTTTGCTGTTAGTTCTATAAGGTGTTGTAGGTCTTCATAGAACTGGTCCAGTTCAGCCTCTTCTGCATCAGTGGTTGGGGCATAGATTTGGATTACTGTGATGTTGAATGGTTTGCCTTGGAATCGGACCGAAATCAGAATAAAACAGAGTATTTACAGACATGGGCATTATCAAAGCGACACCTGTCAGTAGGAAACCCAAGTTCTGTAAATGAATAAAATAAAACTTGCTACAATGTAATGTGCAAAACAGTTCTCAGAAGCTCTCTGCTGTGTAGGGTTGCCTGGTCACCCTCAGCCACCCGTGGGGGATGGGGGGGCAGGGTTGCTAAATCCAAGTTGGGAAACTCCTAGAGATTTGGGGATGGAGCCTGGGGAGGAAAGGGACATCAGTGCAGTACAACACACCACAGACTTCACCCTCAAAAGCATCCATTTTCTCCAGGGGAACTGATCTCTGTAGTCTGGAGATGAGCTGTAATTTCGGGGGCTCCCCAGGTCCCACCTGGAGGCTGGCATCCTTACTGCTGTGGTATACCAACTCAACAGTTGCTTGATGCATTCATATTCGTTTTCTAAAGTCAATAGTAATAAACCACTCCAAAACTGGGGTAGAATGTCAGCTGAGAACCACCCTTGCTTGGATCTCACTGTTGACCCCCATCAATTGGAATGAGATGCATGGTCTTCCCCCCCATCTTTTTAAATCTATATGATGATCCCCTCTGCCTACGCTTTTTTCAAAACATTATTTTATAGCTGAAATGCCCACAGGTCCCCCATTCCCCCAGGAAGACACTTGATGATTGTGGAGGCTTTGAAAACATAAATTATGGTGTCAGAAGCAAAGACTGGAAGGTAGAAGGTTATGCTGACAAAATGCATAATGGAGGCAGCACTTGAGGAGTACATAAATGAATAAATGCCGTTCATTTGCTCTCACACACACACACACACCCAGGGCTGCACCCTGGGTGTTTAAAAAAGTTCCAATGACAATGGTGGCATTTTGAAATAATTGCCGTAATTGCTTTTTTTATTCCAGTTTCGAAATTAATCCACAGGAGTGGGCAAAAGAAGAAAAGGTGTTTTGCAAAAAAAAGAAATCTTCAAAACGATCCCGCCTTGACATGGATATTGTGGTCTTGGATACCTTTGCCCCTTCCTACTTTTGTTCTCTGTCTCAAGGGAAACAGACACAAATGAAGCCAGGCGCGGAGGAGGAGGTGCTGAAATCCTCCTTCGCTGGGTGACACACATTTGGTCGAAAATGGAAGGAGGCTCAGAGAAGCCCTGGCAACCGAGGGAGGAGGGGGACAAACTGCATGGCAGGCCAGAGATTCGTATTTGAATGAAAGTGACAGGAGGAGTGATTGAAATGTGGAACTGGCTGCTAGAGGAGGTAGTGATTCTGCTGCTCCTCATGGGGTGTCTGTGGCGTGTGGAGCAGCAAAGCTGGGGAAATAATCCCCCCCCACTCCATGGTGCCATTCCAAGAGGTCCATCAGTGGCTATTAGTGGGGCCACAAGGTATAGATAGGAACTCTCACTCTGGGGCAAGTGATGCATTGTATTCTTGGTGCTGGGGGGGGGGGAAAACAGTGGGAGGGCTTCTAGTGTCCTGGCCCCATTGGTAGACCTCCTGATGGCACCTGGTATTTTTGGCCACTGTGCGACAGAGTGTTGGACTGGATGGGCCACTGGCCTGATCCAACATTGGCTTCTCTTATGTTCTTATGTTCTCCTTTTTAAAAAGAAGCTGTTCTGCACAGCTGGCGTGGGGTTGTGGGGAGCACAAGCCGGCCCAAGGAACCCAAACCCAACTTGTTAAAAATGGTAATGTTTCATTTGGCCCCTGGAACTTAGTCCAATACGCCAACTAATGTTTGTGCATGTTAAGTGTCGTCAAGTCACTTCCAACTCATGAGGACCCTGTGAATTAACGTCCTTCAAAACGTCCCTCAGTTGAGTTATTTTAGCTTCTAGAGAGAGTTCAAGATTTGATCTAGAATCTACTTATTTTGGGGGTTTTTTTGGCAGTTTGCAAAACTCTCTTCCAGCACCATACTTCAAATGAATCTGGAGAAGTGTGCATGCACATGGAAGCTTATAACTTGAATAAAACTTTGTTGGTCGTAAAGGTGCCCCTGGACTCAAACTTTGTTCTGCCACTCTTTTCCTGTCAGCTTTCTACACTGACCAACTTTCAAGCTCATCCACAGTAATGGGGAATACTATGGCATGGCTTACGTCGGTCCCCAGTGCCACATCCCCACAGTTCAGAATCTTTTCCAGATCCTCCATGGCTGCCCTTCCCACTCCTGGTCTAACCAATATGTGGTTCTTTCCTTCAGTAAAGGGAAAAGTTACTCACCCCACCCAATTCCGTAGTAGTAGAAATGCTTGCTTTCTTCTGATCCAAACACCTTGATCACCATACTGTACAGGTGAAAGCCTTCCACCAGCATCCAAGCAAAAGCACTCAGGAAGAAGAAGTGGAGAAGGATGGCCAGGATTTTACAAGGAACCTACAAGTCAAAGCAAACAGAGATCTATAGAGAGATGGACAGCTTTTCAGAAACACCAACCAATGGGCAAACATAAATATTCATTACAAGCCTTTCCCTACTTTGTCAAACGGCATTGTGTACATTTTCTCAACAACACCTACAACATTTGTATAAAGCAAACCCATTTTGTACAGTCTGTTTCACAGACTGTGGGGACCAAGAGCAATACTGGCTGGACTCCGGCATCCCAGTGGCTTCCTGGCTGACACAAGAACATAAGAAGAGCCTTGCTGGATCAGACCAGTGGTCCATAAAGTCCAGCATCTTGTTTCACTCAGTGGCCAAACCTGTTACTCTGGAGGGCTAACAATAGGGGACTGAGGTCAAAGCCTTCCCTTGATGTTGCCTCCTGGCACTAGTATTTAAAGGTTTACTGCCTCTGAATGTGGAGGCTCCCTTTAGTCACCATGGCTAGTAGCCACTGATAGACCTGTCCTCCATGAACTTGTCTAACTTGAGAGGTGGACCCAGCTAGCTGCAAGACTGAGCACAGCAGGCTGACAACTGATCAATTAGGATCTACATGGGCAGTGTGGATCCTCCGGCATGCAAGCCACATGAGTCAGACCACTGGTCCATCTAGCTTGATATGGTCTTTTCTGATTGGCAGCGGCTCTGTAGGATCTCGGGCATAGCAACATCTGCTTCCTGAAATCCACGCTGAGCTTCTTCCCGATGTGGTTGGTTGCCAGAAGAAAGGAGTGTTTCACATGAGAATGCATTCAAATAAGCATTCTGCCATACAGCTGCAGGGTGAAAGGGTGCAGTTCCCTCAGGGCTGTGCTGTGAGCCCTACCTGGATGTTTTAAGTGACCTGAGAGCTGGTACCAAAGAACCTTTACCTAGAGAGCTGGGAGACAAACCTGGGACCTTCTGCACGCAAGGCAGGTGCTCTACCACTAAGCCATGGCTCCTCCCCAATGTCAGAAAATGTAGGACAAGTAAGAAGAGAATTCAGTACAGTCCCTGCTGTGCTGGTGTTGCCCAGTAATGAGAACTCTTGAATTCCTACATTCTGCTACGGAAAGATAGTTGGTGTGACAGAAACTCATTAAGGTAAGAGCGCCACCTACAGAGTCTAGGAACTTGGACTCCTGGAGGCTTACATTAGAATGGCCCATTCACTTCCATTCTACATTGGACCATCCTGCTAGACTTACTCCCTTTTGGATACAGGACAATCCGATTTGGACCACACCACCTATTTGTCATGGAAGTTCAGAGCTATTAGCAGATGCTTGATGGAGGTGGGGCTATACTTTATGTGGCTGTGATTGGTAACATAGCCTCTGACTTCAGAGATGGAGCTTTGCATGGAATTCACTTAAAGCAGCTTGCCATTTATAGAAAGGAGGCTGGCTGAGGTCCAGTTCCGTCGGCCATTAAAATCTGGACATTTGGGATTCCCCCCTTGTCTTCACTTTTCAGTCTTCAGTGGAAACTGAGTACACAGGAGGTCGGGATGGGGTTGATGACCCCTCCCACTTGTTATTATAAAGGAACTCCGTGCATGCTCTGAGGAACCTGCTACCACCTAGGTAACGTGTGTTTAGCTTAGTCAATACAACTGTATTGCTTTCTATTTGAACATCTCTATGCTGTGGTTGTGAGTCTCCCCTGAATTCTGGTTTTGCCTTTCCCCACTGCTTTTTGAATCCAACCACCCTTTTCCCTTTCCCCCTTCTCTTTTATAATAAATAATTTTTTTTAAAAAAATAGACATTTTTGGGCTTTGCTTAGTACAATTCACGTCCCTCGGGTATTTCGCTTAATCTTTCCCTCCATGCTAGACAGCAAGGGTGCTACACAGTTGGTTCTAAGGTATTTCCTAGAGTTTCTGCCCTGTCATTTCGATATTTCTCTTGTTGGAGCCTGGCAAAAAAAGGAGAAAGAAGATAATGCACTCTCTGGCAACAGAAACTTCCAGAGCATATTAAAGATGTTTCTTAATTATGGTGAAGCATGCAAACAGCAAGCAAATGCTGTTGAAACTGTCCTTGGATTGGTGCATTGGAGACAAGACAATGCTCATAGGCTTGGTATAGGAAGAAAGCAGGCCTCTGAAACCTGATCTTTAATTGCTGACCTCCCCGCAGGCCCCCTTGTCATAGTGGTGCTTATCAATTATTCCTCAAAAGTCCTTTCCGCACTTGGATCTCATCCCTGGTTTTATCAGAGTTCAACTCATGACACAATACCTTGCATTTATCCCTGGTTATAACAGCATCCGTTTATCCCGGGACAAGTATGGGGAGAAACCGGGGTGACCTCAATGTGATGTGGAAACAAAAAATACCTCGAGATACTTACAGGCGTGAACTCGCATGTAGCATAGAATCTTAGTTCAAGGACAGGGTTGAACCAGGATTTAAGGTCTAGCGCGGAAAGGACCAAAGAGTTCCTTTCGGCTTTCTGCCCGAGTTCTCCCCTTCCCCATGTCCCTGCCTGCTTTGGGAAAGTATTGATGCTTTCACGTCTTTCTTATATAGGAAATGTGTCCTGTTGTTTTTGTCACACTATTACTTTTTCTTCTTCCTGAGTGGATTCTCTGATCCCATCATAGTGTTCCTTTCGGCTTTCTGCCCGAGTTCTCCCCTTCCCCATGTCCCTGCCTGCTTTGGGAAAGTATTGATGCTTTCACGTCTTTCTTATATAGGAAATGTGTCCTGTTGTTTTTGTCACACTATTACTTTTTCTTCTTCCTGAGTGGATTCTCTGATCCCATCATAGTGTGCCGGGAGGCATTGTTGCTGGTGGCGATGCTATTACAAGATACCTTTGCAGCAAGATTAAGCGAAAGGGTTTCTTTCAGACTGTCCTTGCCCATTCTTATTTTTGAACGAGTCACAGATATAAATAAAGCTTCATTTCTGCCAGCTCCATTGATAATGGCCATGGAGCTTTGCCATAGCAAAAGGCACTGCTGTTGTTGCTGTTGTTGTTGTTATTATTGTTATTGTTATTATTGCAATCCTGGAAGGCAGAAGGTTTTCTTTGCTTTTTCAGAACACAAGAAACAGAGAGCATGAATGAATGTGTTTTATTCCTTTAAGCAAAACATTCCTCCTCCCCCGTAATGACACACAACTTCATAGTCAAACAGGCATAGTATATAGCCTTCCTGAACTGTACCACCAGTATGCAGATTGAGTATATATAAACAAAGCTTTTTGATTGTTAGAAAGTAGTACTAAAAGTTTTCTCCTTGTTCTGTAAGGACTGTGTATCTTTGACTCAGCAGCAGGGTACATGCTTTATGTGAAGAAAGGTTTAAAAAGCCTAGGGAAGGGCTATGGCTCAGTGGAAGAGCATCAGCTCTATATATACCATCTTTGGGGGGGGACTAAGGCTCAGGAGGCCAGGTAGAAACATCTGGTAACATCTAAAATATTACCAATGCCTACTGGAAATGTTTGGGCTGTGCTAGGGCGGGGGTCGCCCTCTCTGAGACTCTGAGATTCTGAGATTCCGATGAATTTAATTTTTGAGCACTTTAATGTTTTAAATGGATTTTAAATTGTACATGATGTTTTAATTGTATTATGGTATTGATGTTTTATCAGCAAGTTCTTTCTTGCCTTGTAAGCCGCCCTGAGCCCCACGGGGAAGGGCGGGGTATAAATTTAATAATAAATAAATAAAATAAATAAATAAATAAATAAAAATAAATAAGCTTTGAACGTAGAAGGTCCCAAGTTCGGTCCCCGGTATCTCCAGTTAAAAGGACCAGGCGATGTGAAAGACCTGAGACCCTGGAGAACCGCTGTCGGTCTGAGCAGACAATATTGACCTTGATGGACCAACAGTGAGGAGGGGCTGTGGTTCACTGGCTCAGAGGTAGAGCATCTGCTTGTTACTTTTTTCCCACCATAGAGAACTTTTTCCCCACCATACAGAACAATGGCAGGGATAGGGGCAACCTGTTTGGGGACCCGTAGAATTGGACCCCCTGGTCCAATGTACTTCAAACTTGGCTGGTGTCTTGGGGAGAGGCTCCAGCAGCTACCCTGTGAGGTTGGAGCCTCTCCCTCAGACCCCCTCCCCTCCAGCCCCCAGAATATACCCTATGTTTTCACCATTAACTTCAATGACCCATAGGATATAATGGGGCCGAATTGCTGCCGAAATTCGGCAGCAATTCGGCGGCAAGCTGATTCAGATCAGAGAATATGAATCGGCCTGCAGCAGCCCGAAAGGGGTCCAAATGGGCCATTTTCAGGGGTGCATTCGGTTCAGACGAACCAAATGCACATCCCTAGAGCCAATCCATTTCAGGTAGCAGGGCTGGTAGAAAAAGCCCTCCCCCTGGGAACTACAGTCAGAATAGACAACACTAAGGCATGATCACTGTGCCATTCCTGTCTTTCTCACTCCTCCCTTATCAATCTGCACGTAGGCACTGATAAAAACACTGCAAAAAATAATTTAAAAACCAGTTGTGATGTGATTGCACAGACGGTTGCATCAAATCTGACTTGGAGCAGCTTTTCGTAATGCACACGGGTGTCGAAGGCTTTCAGGGCCGGAGTTCATTAGTTGCTGTAGATTTTCCAGGATGTGTGGCCGTGGTCTTGGCATTGTAGAACCTGACGTTTCGCCAGTTACTGTGACTGCGATCCTCAGAGGTATAAACACAGAAAGATGGAATACTCTCTGTGTCAAGGTGAGAAGAAAATGGTAGGCAGTAAATTTATATTTACTCCAGAAGGTGGGTAGGGCTGAGTCATTGTCTTGTAGGAGTTCCCCAGGGTATGGACATGCTAATGGAGGAGCTTTCCTGAGGAGGTTCTTTTGTTTCCTGAGGAGGTTTCCTGCTTCCTGAGGAGGTTGTTGAGATTCTAATCTTATCTGTAGTCCTATTGTCTGATGTAAAGCCTTTTGTGTTTTTCAGGACAGGAAGCGATGTCCTATTTATTTTTAAACTCTCTTCTTTCCTGTTGAAATTATGTTTATGTTTG